GGGCAGCGAGCGTCGGGGATCGAGGGTCGAGCATCGAGTGTCAAAAATCGAGGGTCGAGAATCGCGGGTCGAGAATCGAGCATCAAGTTTCGAGGTTCGAGAATCAAGGTTCGAAGATCGAGGGCCGAAGATCGAGGATTGATGTTCAAGGATCGACGATCGAGGGCCGAGGATCGAGCATCGAGTATCGAGGTTCGAAGATCCAGGCTCGAGAAACGAGGATCGATTATCGGAATTCGAGGTGTCTGTGGCCTTAGGGGACACCTCCAGGGACCTCCAGACGCGGCGAGGAAAAAGGCTAGCAGATCGAACAAGTGATACTGAGATTCACCACCTGCACGCATCTTGACGCTGGCATCTTCGGGTTCTCCCCTCGCAAAGGATGGGGCAAGAGTGCCAAGCAATTAGACGGCTAATCGACCACAATAGCTATATTCACCGTCTCGAGTAAAACTTTCAACAGCATGGCGTCATCAGAGATTAGCAGAGAAACTCAACAACAAAACTAATACCAAGCGAGGTGCAGTCTGCCCAGCTTTTCGACATGGTCGCTGCTATTACTACGCTCGCTGACTTGATCGATTACCTCCTTGACGCCAGCGCGCCACCCATGCGCACCTGCGTGTGCATTGACACACCCACGCTCGTGCAGGGATGCCCACGAACATTCGCATGTGCATCACGTCTACCTGCGTCTGTGTAAATACGCCTGGATCTACGAAGACGCTGGGAACACAAACGGCTGGAATTATATGTGTAGCATCTGGAGGCCATGCGCTGCACACACAAGCACATGTGGAAGCCAGGCGTGCCCAGCCATAGAAGGACCGAGCCTTAGAAAGACATAACGCTATATAAATAGGTGTGCTGATATATATATATATATATATATGTATATATGTATATCTATAAATATATACATGTGTATATACATATATGTATATATGTGTGCTCATGTAGTTCCACTGCAGTACTTTACAACTATACAAGACGTGTCCCGACTCGCTGCGCTTCACCGAGAACATCGTGGTCGCATGGCGCCAGAGAGGCTCGCCGCGACCACCAGTGCCCTCGGTGCAACGGACTTCTGGCGCATGGGCTTCGCTAGACATGTGAGACTCACCGTTGCGGCTGGATTGGGTTCTCCGCGCGTGCAGGCTCTCCTTTGGGGCTTGTAGCGTCAAGGAGGCTTTCAATGTGCCGCAAACTCCTAGCGCGGGTCGTCGGGCTCGGCTCATTCGGCTCGCGAGGGTCGTAGGACTCGTAGGACACGTAAGGCTCGTAGGTCGTAGGGGTCGCGAGGTTTATGGGGCTCATGGCACTCGTAGGGCACTCAGGGCACGCAAGGGTCGTAAGGTTCGCGGGGCTTATGGGGCTCATGAGGCTACTGGGGCTGAGGAGGCTCGCATAGGTAGTGGCGTTCGCTGGACTCGTGGGGGTTGTGGGGGTCATGGGGTTCAGGCAGGGGCTTCGGATTGTAAAGCTCTGGGGAGTCGGGGAGCCCATGGGGCTGGTGGGGCTCGCAGGCGTTACGGAGGTCGTTGGGCGTATGCGGCTCGAAACGGTCGTGCGCCTCATAGAGCGCATCAGGGGTCGTTGGCGTCGTGGGGCTCATCGGGCTCGTGGGGGTCCGTGGGCATGACAGGACTGACGGGACTGACTGACGGTTCCGCAAGTGGGGCTCAAGAAGCTCATGGGCTCGTAGGGCTAGTTGGGGTCGTAGCGCCCGTAGGGTTCGTTGGATTTTGTTTGTTTGCGTACGATGTGTTTTTGAAGCAAGGTGTCGAAGCGGTGGTTCACCCGTCAGCCGAGCCCTACCCGCATCGGGTTGCGCCCAGGCATCGCAGGGCGACCGCGGCGGAGAGCTAGCATAGAGAGACATATAGGCATGGCATTACAAGCTCGCGGAAGGCTCGCCCCCACCGGGCGCGCGCTGAGCACAGCTGCGCCCGCGGGAAGCTCAGCGAGCACAGCCGCAAGCTAGACGGGCACGGTCGACGCGGCGTTCACAGCGGACGACGCCACGGCAGCGCCAGCGGGGTCCTACTCGGAGCGCAAGCTGGCGGGTGTGGCGGCGCAGGAGACTCTTCAACCGGTTCGACGGAAGTGCAAGCAAGCACGCCGTAACCGGAAGACCATGGAAGGATCCAGGCAGGCCCGTGCCCGAGCGCTGACTGGAGGGGTCCGCCCGCATTCAAACGGCATTTGCGTGCTCTACATTGCACTCGCGAAAGTCGAGAGAGCCGGGGCGCCCTTGACATCCCGGCCGGCGAGCTCGAGGCCTCGGGAGCCAGGCCGCCTCTCGCCACCCCAGGCCACCATCGTCCGGAGGGTGGGCCCATCAGGTGCGGCCCGCACGACAAGACGGCGGCCGCCGCCGAGAGGGCCCTCCCTCGCAGCCGCCAAGCTGACCTTCCAGCACAAAAGCTTGAGCTTGTCGTCAAGCTGGCTGGGTGTTCGGTCGTCGAATTCGGCCCCCAAGCGGCCTACTCTCCCATGAGTGCTTGACCTTCAAGGCCAGAGGCGGCCTCCGCCTGACTTGTTTGGCCAAGGCCCGTTTCGACTTCGGTCTGGTCGAACGCCCTCGACTGAAGGAGCATTCGCTGCTCCCTCCAGTCCTTGAGGGAGTCTTCAATCTTCTTGGGCTCGATGTCGTCCATCCTCGAGATGAAGAAGATGGCCAGGCAATCCTTCACGAGATCGTCACGATCGGTGACAGAAAGAGCTACTGGTGCGAGGCAGAGGAGAACTTCACGACAAAAAGCGTTGATGGTGCCGTCATAGAACCAGCGGCTCCAACCTTCTACAGGATATTCTTTCACTTTGAATTCGTCACTCTCAGATGTCCACAAGAGATTCCACGCTGCTTGCCGGAAGGTCCCACCGCTCTCGTCATGACCGGAGACGTTCGTGACGAGCACCGCAGCAAACCAATGGTATATATTCATCTTGCATCTACAGTGTGTGTTCTCATCGCCGTTCATGTCCAATATGAATACAGAGAACAGCATGAACTGCGCGATAAAAGTTATTGTCGCGAAGCCCCATGGGACGGAGTAGTCCGCAAACTTCGTGACGATTTCGTCCAAATTCTGATGGTTCGCCTTGGCTTCCTGAAATTCGTAATCATATCGTCTCTTCTGCAGGTAGCGGAAAAGGTGATAAACGAAAAGAGATTCGAAGAACGCGAAGAGGAGTGACTCGATGAAGGGCTGATGTTCGTACGAGCCTAACAAGGCTACCTTCATGGCCTCCAATGCCCCACTGTAGTAGATGTTCAAGATGTAAATATGCCGGCCGAGGCTGCGAAAGAAGTTAGATTTCCTAGAATGTCCGAAAGCAGCCCTGATAACCTTCGCTCCGACGGTGAACTTGTATTTTTCACACCAATATGCGAGCAAGGGCATCAAGTGGAACTGCAAGATCATTATGAAACTAACAAGCAGAGCAAAACGGTTGAGCAGCAGCTCCCGAGCCGGTCCTGCGGACCACGAGAGAAAATCCTCCACGTAGCACAAGCCCCTCGGCAGCGAGTTGTCTTCCGTGACGCAGTACATCGGCAGCTCGGTTCTCGGGCAGGTGTCACTGTCGCAAACGCCATTGTCTGCCATCCGTGCCGGTATCCAGGGGACCCAAACAAGCCGGCACCGCCACTACCTGGAGGCCTCTCCTGCGGGGCGCTCCGACCAAACCGTGGGGCGAGCCTTGAGCCAAAATGGCTGCGGACCCGTAGGGTTCGTTGGAATTGAGGGCTTAGGGCGCATGAGACTCGTGTGGCATATAACCTTGTCGGGCTATAGCGCTTGTAGGGCTCCTAGGGAACATAGCGCTCAAAGGGCTCATGCGGCTCATAGGGCTAACAGTGCTCGTAGGGCTCGTAGGGCTCATAGGGCTGATACGGCTGCCAGGGCTCGTGGAGCTCGTAGGGTTCATGGGCTCGTAGGGCTCGTAGGGCTCATGGGGGTCAGAGCGCCCGTAGGGCTCGTAGGGCTCGTAGAGCTCACAAGGCGCGTATGGCTCTCAGGGCACGGAAAGCTCAAGAGGCCTCGCAAGGCGAAGGGTGCTGTAGAGGGCTCGGGGGGACGATGCGGCTCCTGGGGCTCGTATGGTCCATAGGGCTCGTAAGGCTCCTGGGGCTTGTGGGCGCCGTGTGACCGATCGGACTCGTTGGCCTTATAGAGATCATGGAGGCCGCGTGGAACATAGGGGTCGTGAGGCATTGGGGATGGTGGACTCGCAGAACTCACCAAGGTCGTGGGGGTTTGCGGGGGGCCCTGGGGGGATGTTCATTGGGGCAGTGGGGTCGGAAGGCTATCGGGGTTGGGCTCATGTGGCTCATCGGGACCGAGGGGGTACTGGGTCTCGCTGGTGACCGCCGGTGTGCGCGGGGCAGTGGTGGACAGTGAGGCTCCTGGAGCTCGTAAGGGTATGGGAGCGATAGGGCGCAGGGGGGTGGCAAATTCAGAAGGCGCTTGGCTGATGGACGGTCGGAAACTCCCCAAAACGGAAATGATGTAGTGTGGTGTAGTGAAGGCGTAGCGATAACGGAAGATTCAAACGCTTGGGGCTCTCGTGGGGATATCCTGGGTGTGTCGTTAGGTTTTTTTTTGGAACGTTGGGGCCTTCCCGAAAACGTCTTGAAGCGATACTGGTCGTGTTGGAACAGTCTTGGGTCCGTTCGGGAAACGATCTGAATCGCGCCCCGGCGGTCGAAGAAGGCCGCGATGGGCACCTAGAACTCAAAGTTAAGCCTCTGGCGATGGGAGCGCCTGGGGGGGCATTTTTTGGGGGGGGCATGGGGGGGTTGCCAATACGTGAGGATATTCGAAGCGAAATGTGTATGCACATACACACATACCCTAACACCCCGCAAATGCGAATAAGAGTGAGGAGGTGGGCCGTGGGGACGTCGGCAGTCTGCAAGACACTGGGGAAGCCCGCCGTAAGCGCCAAAGTTTCACACATTACACAACGAACCCGCCGCAGGCGCCGATTTTTTCGTTGAACAAGTGTGGGTAGGTCGCGGGTGGGTCGCCGGTGGATCGCAAATGGGTTACGGCTGGGTCGCGGGTGGGTCGCGGGTGGGTCGCTGTTGGGTCGCGGGTGGGTCGCAAGTGGGTCGCGGGTGGGTCGCGGGTGGGTGGGTCGCTGTTGGGTCGCGGGTGGGTCGCGGGACGGTCGGGGGTGGGTCGCAAATGGATAGCGGGTGGGTCGCTGTTGGGTCGCGGGTGGGTCGCGGGGTGGGTCGCGGGTTGGGTCGCAGGTGGGTCGCGGGGTGGGTCGCGAGTGGGTCACGGGTTGGGTCGCGGGTGTGTCGCGGGGTGTGTCGCGGGGTGGGTCGCGGGGTGGGTCGCGGGGTGGGTCGCGGGGTGGGTCGGGGGTGGGACGAGGACAACAAACAAACAAACAAACAAAAAACAACAATGCAACAACGCAACAAACAGAATCCTCACCACGGATACCCACATAAGCCACGCACCCAAGGACAATGAATGACCGTTCGCCCCCCTCACTTTGATACGTATATATATATATAAATATTGATGTTTGTATATATCTGTATCTATATATATATACACATTAATATATTAATATATGCATATATGAATATATGAATATATGAATATATGAATATATGAATATATGAATATATGGATATATATATGTGTACATATATATATGCATATATATATATATGTTCACAAGTATATAAAAATATGCGTAAAGAGAGAGAGAGAGAGAGAGAGAGAGAGAGAGTGTGAGGGTCGTACTAAGTCAAGTTCTCGACTGGGCCTCTGATCGGCGCTTCGTGGGCACGTTTTGAAACCGTCGTGATTGTCTGGGCATCATTGAGGGCCTCTTGGGCCGTCTCGAGCACCTCTAGGGGCGGTTTGCGGGCCTTGTTGGGCTGGCGTGGGGCCTTTTTGGGCCGTCTGGAGCCCCTCCGAAGGGCCCTCTTGGAGCGTGTTGGGGCTGCCTTGGGCCTTAAGCCCCCCTTGGGAAATGCTGGGTCCTACTTGGGGCCGTCTTGGGCGCACGTGAACCATCTTGGAGAGATCTGGGGGGCTCGGACGTCTCGGGCGCTCTGGAGGCCGAGAGGCAAGCCCGAGAAGCGGAGCAAGATGCAAGCAACGTAACCGATGCCGAAAGAGAACCTACAAGTGTTGCCCTCTGAAGGCATTGTGACATGGGAGCTTTGTTTGGGCCTTCTTGGGCCGTCTTAGGAAACCGCCTGGTCATCTGGGGCTCCGCCGCCGCATGGGCTTTCAAACCAAGTTCCGGGTGGGCCGGAGGGATAATTGCGCGAGCAGTGGAATTGATAATTTACTGAAAACAAAAAGTAATTGCACCGCATACTTTGCACCACAACTCACACCACATACATTGAACCACACATTTGTTCCGCCACAATGCGTGAACACACAGCTTGAGGTCCTCGCCGGCCAACATGTCTACCCATACATTCATCCATACATACATACATGCATGCATGCATATATACATACCCACATACATACACCTTTACACACCTTTTACATACATATACATATATATAGAGAGAGAGAGATCGATGCATACATACATATACATACATTCATACCACAATACCCGCATACATACATACACCCCTACACACATACATACACGCATTGTACATACATGCATCTATACATACATACGTACATGCACATAGACATACGTAGATACGTACACACATATAACTGTACATGTTTGTCTACATGCACACATACATACATGCATTACATACATTACATACTTCCAATTCATGACAAACATTGCATGCGTTACACACATTACACTACATTACACGACATTGCATTGCATTGCAATACATTGCATTACATTGCATTACATTACAATACATTACATACACACATTTATATATACACACATACACGCATACACACATATACACATACATTAATACATACGTGCATGCATGCATGCATGCATACAGTTGTGCATGCATGCAAGAATGCATACAAACAGGCAGACATATACATGCACCTACACTTATTATATGTAAACATGTATTCAACGTTCGCCCAGGTCGACCGCGTCATGTATCCAGCGTGTTGGTACATACGCGCGTGCATCACCGCACGCTTGCGTGTGCCATGCGTCAATGCATGTGTGTACGTGCATGTCTCCACCTGGACATTGAAATAATCATGTGTGTGAGCGCGATCCCGGCTTTCTACGCTGCGCCGCTGCGCGTGTGGCCGCGACGCCAACACCAGTGGAGCGACGAAGTGGTCACGGCTCTCCGCGAGAACCGACGCAGCCCCACCGATTTCGTCTCATGGTTGTCTAAGACTCACTGCGGCGGCCAGCTCTGGCCCCGCCCTACGGTCGCACTGGCACGTCATCGACGACGTACCCTTGGCCACCCGACCTCTTGACGCCCCGATCCCCCCCGACTCCGACGACGAAGCCCCGTTGCCCCAACCTTGTTCCACCACTCGGTGAGCAGGTCTGCGACCAGGACGCAATCCATACAACGATGGCGTCCACTGCCACCTCCGCGCGACCCGCGGCGCCAGACGGAGGAGGCGACGCCCCAGCAGACGCAGCAGAGCAAGCTGCCCACGGCACTGCTGCCCCCCCGACGCCGAGCGACCTCGCTAGCTACTTCACCAAAGCGCTGGCGCCCACTGCGGCAGGGACTCGAGCTGCGGCAGCTGGCGGCGCTGGCCCTCCTGCTGGCGCAGCAGCGCCAGCTGCCCGTGGCTCTGGCGGCGCCCCCGCGCCGCCCTCGCCCCCCACTGGTTCAAGTTGGGCGGCTGGAGCGGACAGTTTGCTACTCCCACCGGGATGCCGCTCCGCATCCTCGTCGCGCACACCCCCGGGCACCACGAGTGCGCCAACTCGCGCGGCAGCAAATGTAGCTGTTACCAGGCGCAGCTGGCCACCCAGATCGGCAATCTCATCGCTCCCTCTTGCGCGCGGCACCCCTCCAGACTAGCTTCCCGACCCCCACTACAACGAGATCCTGTTTTGGGCCAAGCAGTTTGGCCCCCAGCGTAAGTCCGACACGACTTTCAAGGAGACTGGAGATGCCTTTCTGAGCCGCAGGCCACTCCCTCGGCAACGTCAACAGGCTGGTTACCATCCAGGTCCTCCGCGCCGTCCGCCAGGGCTTCGACGACGGGGTCGTCCGCGGCTGCTGGCACCTAAAGGTGTTTTTCGTTTTCGTCTTGTTGTTGCTGTTTTTGCGTTCCCTCGCTTTGTCTCCAATCCGCCTCTACCGCAAGACGAAGCCGAAACGCAAACGGCCCACGAAATCGCCAAAACACCCTTTAGGTCCAGCCCTGCGATCCAGAATGCGCCCATGGCGCCTGTCGCGCGGTCCGACCCCCCCCAAAGCCGCCCGACCCCCACGGGGGGCCCGCCGCCTCTGCGGGCCGCCGCGGCCCCTCTCCGGGCCCGCCGCCCCGCCTGGACCCATGCCGCCTCGGGCGCAAGTGACACCTGCTCGCCCGTCGGCGCGCGGCGCCACTCCGCGGCGACCCCCTGGGCTCCGTGCCCGCCCTTTTCCGCCCCCCCCCCTCTGGGCCCGCCGCCTCATCCCAGTTGGCCTCGCCCTCGGCAGCTCGTTCGCGGCTCGCCCCGCCTCGCCCTGGTCTTGCCTGGCGGCCGTGGCCTCTCGCTGCCATGTTGACGCGGCCTGGGCGATCCGCCAGGAACCCCTCGGCGTCGATCCCGCGTCGCCTTCCTCGCCTACGGTTCTGGCCATGCTCGCCTCTGGCCTCGCCCTGGGTTTGCCAGGCGTCTAGACGACGCGGCGCCGCTGCCGCTCTCTAGCCGCCCTGTTTGGCGCGGTTCCTGTGCGATCTGCTGGGGCACCCTCGGTGTCGATCCCGCGTCGCTGTACTGTCGGCTTTGGACGCGCCCGCCGCCTGTCCCGCTGGAGGGTGTCCCCGTCCGACTCGGAGACCAGGGTCAGGGGCTTAGTGCTCGCTGGTTCTCGTGTGCAGGAGTCGGGCGGTGGCAGGCGCTGTCGCTCCTCGATGGGGCCGTCTTGCGCCTTCGACGCTGCTGCCCAGCTGCTAGGATGTCAGGTGGCGCCTGTCCCGCCCTGGTTCTGCCGTGCTCCTGGGCGGCGTTGCGCCGGCCTGTCGCTTCCCGTCCTGCCTCGCTTGGCCAGGCCTCCTTGCCTGCGCGCCACGCCCGATCCGCTGGGGTCGCTCTGGGTCCCAGCGGCCCGCTGGTCTCCGCGGGCGGAGTCCGCGCACTCGGCGCCCGCGCCTCCCCCAACCTGTCGGCCTCGTTTCCTTGCGGCCCGCCACCGTTTTCCGGCCCTTGGGCCGCCGCTCCCGGTCTGCCGATCGGGTCTCGCCCTCTGGGGCCTCCCCCCTCGCTCCGCCCCGCCCGGCCCCGCCTCTCCCCAGCCCGCTGGTCTCTCCAGCGCGCTGCGGCCTTTCCGGCTCTGGCCGCCCGCCACTTGCTTTCAACCGTGGCTCCTCGCCAGCCTCACTATGGCGTGGCCCAGGTTGCGCTGCCGCGCGCCAGTCTTTACGCCCGCCTCCCTGGCGCGGCGTCGCCTTGCTGCTGGCCCGCCCCTCTCCGCCGCCTCCAGCCCCTCCCGCCCGCTGCCCCGACGCCGCCGCGGCCGCTGCCCGCTGCCTACCCTGCCGCCCCCGGCCACTGCCCCCTCAGCGGGTGGCCGTCTTCCCTTTTCTTATCTTCGCTCTGACACTGCGCGCCCCGCGACGGCGCCCAACGCGCTGGCGAATGGCCGCGCCATTACGACCGAACAAGTCAGTGTGTGTGTGGTGTGTCTGTGTGTGCGCGTGTGTGTGTGTGTGTGTGTGTTTGCGTTTGCGTTCGCGTTTGCGCGCGCGTGTGTGTGTGTGTGTGTGTGTGTGTGTGTGTGTGTGTGTGTGTGTGTGTGTGTGTGTGTGTGTGTGTGTGTGTGTGTGTGTGTGTGCGTGTGTGTGTGTGCGTGTGTGTGATGTATGTTGTGTGTTGTGTGTTGTGTGTCTGTGTGGTGTATCGGCCGCGCGCACACTGGATTCGACCTTTCTCCGCCTCGACGCTGCGCGCGAGACCGCGACCGCCAAACAAGTGCGTATGTGTGTAGTGTCGTCTGCACCGTGTCCTTCCCCGCCATCCATGCCCGGATGGTTATGGCTGCCGGCGGCTGCGAGGCCCCAAGTGGCATCTGAATGCTCAGGCGGGTTGAGACGCGCGCTTCGTTATTTTCCGACCTTCTACGCCCTGTCGCCGCGCGCAGGGCTGCGACGCAAAAGAGTGTGTGTGTGTGTGTATGTGTGTGTGTGTGTGTGCGTGCGTGTGTTCGACACCTGGTTTGTGACTCTGCCTGTGTACACCGAGCTTGGCCGAACTGCAGACACTCGCGTGTGCAAGCCGATGCGCCTCTAAGAAACTCGCCTTCCTGACTTCTGACCCTGCCGAACTTCTGACCTTACGGACGAGTCACCCGGTGGTAACGGCCGAGCGCCGCGCCAAATCACATTTCCCACCGTACCACGAGGCATGAGTTGGAGTGTTCACCAACACTCTTAAGGGGCCCGAGCCCAAAATTGATGGTTTGTCGAGGGTTCGTCGCGGTTCCCCGCGTGTTGTCTCATGATTCATTCAAAATCCAAAAAAACACCAACACGGGCCAAGAGTCCCACGAGACGGTCCAAGAGGGCCTCGAATCGCCAAAACATCACTCCTGGACCCTCAAGAATGCCTCCAGGCAGCCCAAGATGCTTCGAAAACGCTACAAAAATGGCTCGAAGAGCAAGTCCAAACGGGCTCCGGGAGGTGGTTGTCGCGTCTCGCCTTCTCTGGCTGTCTACGATCCAAAACGACCCCAGAGGCCCCAAAGAGCCCCCCGAGACTGCACCAAGGCGGCCTAAGAGGCCCCCGAGAGGGTCCCCGACGGCCCCAACCACTGGGCGCCGAGACCGCCGCGGATAACCTGCCGGGCCTGTTGAAGGCAGCCGTGGCCAACGTAATTACACGCCTCACGGGCTCATCTTGTGCGCATCCCTGAACCTTGCACAAGAGCATGACGAGCCCACAATTCAGCGTGTCCGCCCCGAGCGGTTCTAGACGGCGAGCAGTCGGAACGACCTCCGATGTTGCCGACGGCGTCGCTGCACCCGAGCGCGCAGCGGGGGCGACTTGGTTGCATTTTTAAGTAGGCGGCGCAGAGGAACCTCAGGCGCGGTCGGCTGATGGAGGTGCCAATCGCGAGCGAACTTCGTAGAACGCGCCGTGATGAAAGAGTCCAGCCACGGCCATGCAGATTGGTGGTGGTGGTGGCGGTGGTGAAAACATGAGGCGCTGCAAAGCCAAAGTGCAGCGGTCAAGCATCCCGCGGAAAGTAGCTCGACGCCAGGAATTGAAGCGCGAATAGCAGTCTGGCTGCACACAGGACGTCGTGCAGAGGCCCAAGAATAATCATGAAGGCTCACAAGCCATGATACCCGATGCTCGAAGATCAGGGACAGAAGATGAAGAAGAGCCCGACGCCTCCGGGGGGCCCTGGAGGTCCAGAGAACGGAAAAACGCTTATCACCCCCTCACTCCTTGACCCTCTCCCTCGCTCCGTCGATGGTGCAGAAGGTGGATGCAGAGGATGCCGAGACAGAGGAGGAATCGGGATCAGCGGGAAAAGAAACGGCGGAAAATGAGGATGAGGAGGAGAAGGAAGAGGAAGAGGAGGAGGACGAGGAGGAGGAGGAGGAGGAAGGAGGAGGCGAAGAACCCGAAGCACCGCGACGCCCACAGCGCCCAAGGCCCAAAGGGGCGGGGACCGCCCGAGGCCCCCGCTCCAGATACGGCTCGTCGGCGAGCTCGTAGGTTAGCGCCAGCTCAACCTCTCCGGGCGGAGCGCGGGCAGGCGTGGCGGGGAGGGGCTGGACTCCCGCACCCTCCTGGTCCAGCTCCGTGTCTCGTCGTCCTCAATCAAGCTCCTCCTGCCAGCTGCTTCTACTCCCTCCTCCTCCTCCTCCTCCTCCCCCTCCTCCTCCTCCTCCTCCTCCTCCCCTCCCCTCCTCCTCCTCCCCCTCCTCCCCCTCCTCCTCCTCCTCCTCCTCCTCCTCCTCCTCCTCCTCCTCCTCCTCCTCCTCCATCCGTTCTCCTTATAAACCACTTCTCCGTGTCGCACCGCGAGGCCAATTTTCAGGGCGGGCCGGGCGTTTCGCCTGAGACTTCCTCACCACTTATGACCCTGAAACTTTAAACTGATAACAGCTTCACAGATGGAGGCGGGTGGTTTTCAAACTGTGGCTCTCGCCTTAGCACCGCGCACATTCGTTTTCCAAAGATTGCAAGAGCTTCACGGATTGAGGGCGGGTCGTTTTCAAAATGGAGCTCTCGCCTCAGCGCCGCGCGCATTCGTTTTCAAAAATTGCAAGAGCTTCACGGATTGAGGGCGGGTCGTTTTCAAAATGGAGCTCTCGCCTTAGCGCCGCGCGCATTCGTTTTTCATCACATTTGCAATGATTTCACGGGCTGAGGGCGGGGGCGGGTGTTTTTTAAATGTGGCTCTCGCTCGCCCTAGCGGCGCGCGCATTCGTTTTCTAAACTTCGCAAAAGAATTTCACGGATTGAGGGCGGGTCGTTTTCAACTTGTGGCTCTCGCTTTAGCGCCGCGCGCATTCGTTTTCAAACTTTGCAAAAGCTTCACGGATTGAGGGCGGGTCGTCTTCAAAATGTGGCTCTCGCCTGAGCGCCGCGCACATTCGTTTTCAAAATTTGCAAGAGTGTCACGGATTGAAAGCGGCTCCTTTTCAAAATTTGGCTCTCGCCTCAGCGCCGCGCACATTCTAGATACAAAATTGCAAGAGTTCACGGGTTCCCATGATCGGCGTACGAGAAATGGTGTTTTGGAAGGAATCGCGATTTTGAGGGCGCAACAGTTAGGATGACTCGCGGAGTTGAGGTCCCAGGAATGGCGTTCTGGCACGATTTAGGCTCGTCGAGACGCAACAGTCAGGATCATCCGTGGCGTTGGAATACCGGGAAACATGCTTCGGCATGCTTCAGGATCTTCAAACGGTTGTCTTCCAACGAGGCAGGTCCCTCTGTGGAAATGAACCGTTGTAGGGGCCTATGAAGAGGGAGCTTGGGGGAAGGGTTTATTCCAACATCGTTGGTGATTCTTGGGTTTACACTGGTCCTCCTCCTCCTCCTGCTCCTCCTCCTCCTCTTCCTCCTCCTCCTCCTCACCATCCTCCTCATCCTCCTGCCGACCGCGGGCATGGCAGCCCCGTCGGCGCTCAAGTGGCGGCCCTGAAGATTTCAGTCAACATCAGCATCTCCTGCTCCTCCCCGAAACGGCCCCCTGTTGAAGCCAGCCGAGGAATCCGACTCGGGTAGAGGTGAGTGGTGCAACAAGACGCTCCTCCTCTTCCTCCTCCTCCTCCGCCTCCTCCTCCTCCTCCGCCTCCTCCTCCTCTTCCTCCTCCTCCCCCACTCCTCCCCGCAAGGCCTATACGGATGCGCGACGAAGGCGAGATGAGCCGAACGCGGGGCCCTCTCTGGAACGACGCCGTCGAGTTCAGAAACGCCAGCAAGCCCAGCGCGCGCAGGCGGCAGCGAGAAGAACTCGCAGAGGTCCTCGGGGGCCTGCATGGCGTAGAAGGCGTTGGAGATGTCCCCGCTGCTGAACCACACGTCGCCGCCGCCCTGCATCTCCACGCGAGCGAGCGCGCTGCCGCCGGGCAGCTCGGCGCAGGGAGGTGGCTTGAAGCGCGCGTTGCAGACGCGGGTGTCGAAGGTGAGCCGCTGTCGGCCTGACTTCTTCGCGGCCGCGAAGACCCCGAGGAGCCCGCGGCGGCCGCGAGCAGGTGACAGGCGCAACGTGCCCCTGCCCAAGAGCTCGCCGGCGATCTCCCCATATAGGTGGCAGGGTGTCGTAGGTTAGGATCAGTGGATTGTTGAGAGTCCGAGATCTCGACGAAGGGCCGCTGCTTCCTCAGGCGGGCGAAGCACGTGCGCCCTCCAGCCCTGCGGCCACGAACGGCCAGCCTCCACGAGGGCGTCGCGAAGCGCCGCAGGCGCAGAGCCGCCAGAAAGCCAGGACACCAGGTCCTTGCTGTAGGAGACCATGTTGCCACGCCCTGTGGAGTAGAGCGGGCCGCTGGAGCAGACGTCGGAGAGCGAGCTGGAGCGGGACATGTCAGCTGGCGGGCCGCCGAGCTTGACATGCTGCGCGGCGATGCAGTCGAGGGATCGCCGCTGCAAAACTGCGGGGCGCTTCCGCGTCGGAGGCGCCCAACCCCCGCTGAGCCAGTTGAGCGCCTCGATGCCGTCGTTGGCCCCGTCGATCCGAGCCAGAACACCGCCGCGACCACCAGCACCTCGGGGAGCTTCACGAGGTAGGAGTGGAAGAAGGAGAACGTTTCGCTGATGACAGACTGCCATGGCGGGGACCACGCTGTCAGGAGCGAGGAGCCAGAAGGGGGCCCTCCAGGGTGGCCGAAGTCCTGGCGGCCGCTGCAAGCACGATGTAAGGCGCCGGCTAGGACTTCCCAGCCTTGTCAGCGCCGCCGCCCCGTCCACCGCCGCGGCCTCCAGCAGGCGGGTGGAGCAGCTGCCGCTCCTCGCGCGCCTTGCGGCGCTTCTTGGCGATGGCCGACTCGGCAGCCAGCTGCTTGGAAATCCACTCAGACAGGACAGGGCAGACCATGAGCCCCCTCGTCGACTGCATCCCTGCGAAGAAAAACTGCTCGTCGCCGCCGTTGCCGACGGATCGCGAGCACACCAGCTTGTCCTTGTACAGCTCTTAGCAGAGCTGGAGATGTCGCGCGACGAGCTCCATGGATGTCAAGTTTGACCCATCGATTTGATCGTGCGAGTGGGCCACCTGCACGATCTTTGAGAACTCGCGGTGCGTCGAGACGATGGGATTATCCGCGGGCACCGTTGGCCCCAAGGTAGCCTTCCAGGCCAGGTGGTGTCCCATCGGCGAGCCTCCGCTCTCCACCTGGTAGGTCGCGACCCAGTGGTCGGTGGAAGGGCCAGGCGCTGGCCATGTCGGGGAAGCTCGTCGGCCGCATGAGCTGGACGCTGTCTCTGAACTCCCGATGACGCTGGCCTTGCACGTCGTAGGCCGCGGCGAGCGTCCGAATGCCCCCAGGCCCAGGAGCGGCTCCGCCATCTGGCGACGCGGGGGCTGCAGCGGCGGCGCCGTCTCCCCCAGCGGCAGGGGCCGCAGTAACCAGGGCGGCCATCTCAGCCAGCCCACATCCAGCGGCAGGGGCGCCCGCCGCGCCGACAACGGCTGCCGGGGCGGGGGCGGCGGCGGCGGCGGCGCCGCCGCCGCCGCCCGCAGCCGCGGGCGCGCCCGCGGCGATGCTGCCCCCCAAGGGCGCTCCGCCAGCGGCCGCGGGGATGGCGGGCAAGCCACCGCCTCCAGCAGCACCAGGAGCGGGAGCAGTAGCAGGAGGGCCGCCGCCAAGGCCGCTCTCGTGCTCTGCCATCTTCGCGGCTCCGAAGCCGCAAGCCTGGGCCAGCTGGGCGACCGTCGGCACCGCGGCGAAGTCATATCGTCGCAGGCCAGCAGGTATGACGGCACCCAGCGGTGCTGCAGCAGGGCCCCACTCCTTCCACCAGTTGCGGACGTCCGCATTCCCAGGGTCGTACTCCTCGACGTACACATCAAAATCGAGCGTGAGCACGGCGTAGTGCTCGAGCCCGAAAGGAGAGCGCAACCACGAAACTCTTGTGCGCGAGCCGTTCTCCAGGTTCGTCGCACTCGACCCAGATCTCATCGCCCACCGCGATCACGAAAAGCGGCCCAGCCCGCCGATCCGCTGCCCGCGCCGATCAGGCGAATCCACTCGCACAGGCTGATGTGCGGTCGCGGGGAGGTCGCCCTCCAGGGCGGGTCGCCTGGCGCGGCCCCGGCAGGGGAGTCGTGCCGCCGCCGCGGCGAACGAAAGCCCCCAGCGCAGGAGCTCGGAGGCCAGCAGCAGCAGGCCGCACAGCGCCGCCTCCCACGCCAGGGAAGGCCGAGGCCCGCTGCCCGCCTCGCAAGCGGGGCACGGCGGGCAGGGCGAAGGGCAGGTTCGAGCGGCCTCCCTCGCGTCCAGCGGCCTCCCTCGCGTCCAAGGCGGCCGCCAGGCAGTCAGCCAGCGGCACCTGGATCCCAGCGGCCTCGCCCGGCGCCGGGAGCGGGCCCGCCTCCAGCGGCGGGACGGGCGCAGCCGCCGCGGGCACGCCTGGGGCCGCGGGCTCGGCGGAAAGCAGCCACCAGGGCGCCAGGAACAGCAGAATCGCGTTGCCTGCTAGCAGGAAACGGACCCTGGAATCTGCGAAACGCATCCGGGCGGAGGCCTCTCCCCCCAGCAAAATACTTGAGCCGATGCGGTCGCGGAAAGATGCGTGACCACGACGGCCTTCGGTTCCACCAGAGATGAGATGTGCAAACACGGCCATCATCATCATCATCATCATCATCATCATCATCATCATCATCATCATCATCATCATCATCATCATCATCATCATCATCATCATCATCATCATCATCATCAGCATCATCATTCTCATCAGCAGCAGCAGCAGCAACATCAACATTATCATCATCACCATCACTATCACCATCAACATCACCATCAGCAGCATCATCAGCATCATCATCAGCATCACCACCAGCTACATCATCATCAACAACACCATCACCATCAGCATCATCATGATAATAACCATCATCATCCGCATCATCAGCATCACCAGCATCATCAGCATCATCATCAATATCAGCATCACCATCATCATCGGCAGCATCAGCATCACCATCAGCATCAAACTAATCATCAGAAACAACAGCATCATCAACATCATCATCATCATCATCGTCATCGTCATCATCATTCAGCTCATCAACATCAGCATCATCAACAAACACATCAGCATCATCACCATCATCAGCTTCCCTCTTTGATCCTCAGAGATCAGACCGATGCTCGAGGTCTTTGAGCGTTTGGGCAGCTTTCAGGCATCCGGTGGCCTCTGGAGGCCTGGGGAAGCCTCCGAGGACCTCTGGAGGCCTCTTCTCTCACCCCCCCTCATCCTCATCCTCTTCTTTTCCTGCGGGCGGAAAGTTACTGTGAAGGCCTCCAGCGGTCCGAACCGACCACCAGGAAAGCGGGAAGAGGAGGCGGGAGCAGCGGGCATCCACCCCGAGCCGATCCCCGTGCGCGAGGAAACACGTGGGGATCGAGCAACGGGCAAATGACGCGGTACACAGGCTGGGATCAGACGGCACCAAATGGGGAACTCGGATCGGATCGGAATGAGATGAGCGTCGCATCGGGCTGCATCGTCACGGAGTCGAACGATCGAATCGGATCGGCTGCGCGAGGGCGCACAGCCGCGTCACGCGCACATCGGGCCGCACGCATCGTCGGAACACCGGGTGTCGGCAGGAAGGCCGCCCCCGTCGACGCGCCCCCTCCCCTGGTAGAAGGACAGACGACCAGGACGTCCCGCCACTCGCCGTCTGCTTGCAAGGCTCCCGAGACCTTCAGCAAGATGGCTGGAAGCCTTGGCACTGCAGGAAAACCCCTGACAGCCCCAGGAAACCTGCGAAAGCCTCCAGGGAACCTTCGAAAATAGAGAGAGAGAGAGAGAGAGAAAAAAAAAAAAAAGAAGAGCATAAATGTGAACTGGACCCCCCTGGCGCACTCCGCGCGCCAGGGGGCGTGCCAGGGTGTTGGGTCCAGCGCCGATCCAAGAAACCTGGGCGGACCTCCGAAAGCTTATGCGAATGCCGATGTAGATTCTTGGGGAGTTCTCTAACACCACGCCCTCCTCATCCTCCTTTCGCCCTCTGGTCCTCTCTGTCTGGGCCGACGCGCTCCACCAAGAGGCCCTCCACCTGCTTGCGCCCGCGGCGGCAGGGCAAGAGAAGTGAGGGACAGGAGAGGGGGCGGCCGAGCGAGAGGCGTCAGCCGCCAGTTCGAGGTCCGAGGACCGGATGTCTGACGCGCAAACCGAAGGCAAGATGAGGATAATTTCGCATGAGGGCAAATCGGAATCTCTGAGACCTGGCGGATCTGGGGGATGTATCGGGTGCCGCGGCCGTTCCAGAACGCTCCTGCATGCTCTAGGAGCGTCCCAGTACGCTCCGGGACGACTTACCCTCATCGCAAGCCTGCTTAAAGCAAGCAGCCGCCAATTCGACATTCGACAATCGAATTTGTCTGCCGCTTCCCTTCGCGCTCTGTCTCCTCCAAATCTCCGGAGAGACCTCCCAAAGAGGGCTCCGCGTCCCGCGAAGCGCGCTTACCTGCGCACTCTGGGGCAGGATCGGTCAGCATCGCAGTTGGGAATTCGAATCGAATCGAATGTGCCTCGGATCGGGCTGCATCGGCCCGGCGTCGAAATCCGATCGGATCGGCCGCGCCAGTACGAGCAACAACGCCATGTGAGCATCGGGCCGCAATGAACCGCCGTAACATAAGAATCGAATCGATAGCGCTCGATGTCGATCGCATCGGAATGGATCCTGTTTGGCCGCCAGGCCATCCTGGAGATGGAGTGTTCTCTGGCACAGACCGCGGCGAGCGACGTGCAAGTGGCGGGTTCAAAACACCCGGAACCAAAAAAACGTCACCTCTTGGAAAACCGACGCATCCGCGGGCTTCCGCCCGCTTCCGCCAGCGGAGCCGCCCTCGGCGTTCATCCGCCACCCTCCGCCGCCCTTCCGCCACCTTCTGCCGAGGAGAAGATATCAACTCCTTCGAACCTGGGAGGCGAGGCTCTGTCTTGACTGCCTCAGATGTCCTCGCGGCCCTCCGCGGGTAGCGTCTGGTGCGGAATCGGCCTTGCCGCCTCCAGGAAGCACCCCGTCGGCTTGGTGTTGCTGGACAGCTTCGTGCCACACTTTCTCCCCCGGGGGCCCTGCAGGCCGGTCCCCGCAATATGGTTCATACAACCCAGTTCCATGAGAGCAGATCGTACTGGCTCACCGAAACACCCCATCATTCCATGCCATTCGTTACGTATGTCATTACAGTATGACATACCGTCCCATCCCAGACCATTACCATTCCATACCATTACGTATGCCATTACATCATACCATTACGCACCACTACACCATGCCATCCCATACCATACCATTCCATACCATTGCGTATGCCATTACGCATGCCATTGCAACCCATCACGTCGCACAGCGCTTCATCCCATACCATTAAGTATGCCTGGTCCGATCCAAAATCCTGATCCTGCGTGTGCTCTCGCACACCAGTCCGAATACTGCAGCAATGGTACGGTGCCTACGTGCAGGCAGACCCGCCACCGTGCCTTCGGCACGCAGTGGAGTGCCAATCACTCACGCAGAATGCCGACGTGCACATCCCAGACCGTGCTTTCGGCACGCAGCGGAGCACCCCAAGGCTCATGCACACACCAAGATATCCGACGATGTGTGTCTTTCCATGCGCGGTCCCGCGGAAGTCCCGCCCCCTCCCTCGGGAAGGTGTTCGTTTGTCGTTCCGGATCCGCCCTCTGAGAAAAACCTCCCTCTCCCCCCTCCTCCCATTCCGCCCCCCCTCCCCCTCCCTCGCCCCTTCCTCGCCCACCTCTCCTCCTCTCCCCTTGCCTCCTCCCCTCCCACTCGTTCCACCTCCGATTCCAAGCCCCCCCCCGTCCCTGGCGCCTTCCTCGCGCCTTCCTCGGTCCCCTCCCTCCCTCGCCCCTCCCTCGCCCCTCTCCCCTCGTCTCCCCCTTCCGCGCCGCGCCGTGCCCTTCCCTCTCTCTCTCTCTCTCGCCCCTCCGTCCGCCCTCTCCCAGCCCTTCTTGGGGGCAGATGAAAGGATGCCGATGCCCCCGATGCTCCCCAGGATGCCCCCCCGGGGGCGACGTGACCAGGGTTCCCGCGAGAACGAGGGAAGGACAGCGGCGTCGGCACCGTCCCCTCCCCTGAGATCTGCACCTGCTCTCCCCCCTCGAAGAAGGAGAAGGACGAATGATGATGATGATAATAATAGGAAGAAAAGAAGAGTTATAGTAATGATAGCAACAATAATCAGCATACTGATCATAAACGTACTAATAATAATACTAATGATGATGTAAATAATAACACTACTACTGATAATGATAATAGTACTAACAAAAACAATAATAATAAAAATGCGAACGACAACAACAATACAAACAATGTAACTAATAATAACACTAACAATGACAGCAACAATAATAAGCAGGCTGACAATAAGCACAGCAATAGTGATACTTATGATAATACACAGGTCAGACAAAGAGCACGAAGAAGATGCATGTGCATAAGCTTTCGGAGGACCACGCGGATGTTTGATGGTTGGCGCTGGAATCCCGGTGGCGGCGCCTCTGGCGCCGCCCCTGGCGCGCTGCAGGGGAGCCTGGCGCTGCCCAAGAATTCCGCGCGGATCTCCGAACGCTTCTGTTCCACTACCCCCGAGGAGGAGGAGGACGAGGAAGAGGAGGAGGAGGAGGAGGAGGAGGATGAGATGAGGAGGTAGGAGGAGGTGCAGGAGGAGGAGGGAGGAGGGGGGAGGCAGGGAAGGAGGAGGAGGATGGAGGAGGAGAGGGGGAGGAGGAGGAGAGGAGAGGAGGAGTGAGAGGGAGGGAGGAGGGGGGAGGCAAGATGAGGAGGAGGAGGAGGAGGAGGAGGAGGAGGAGGAGGAGGAGGAGGAGGAAGAGGAGGAGGAGGAGGAGGAGGAGGAGGAGGAGGAGGAGGACGTCGTGACCCCTCCCTCTCTGCATTCGGATGGTCGGGCCGAGCCGTTCCCTTCCATCCCCCCCAACTGACTTCTGCTCAGACCCTGGGCACTCTCCCCAACCCCGCCACCCTCCCCCACCAAGAGCAACAGCCTCTTCCCGCTCACCCACCCGTGCCTGCCGGCCACAGCGTCAGAGTGGCCAGGCAAGGTAATCGATCTGGCGGGCAGAGGGCCCAGGCAGCTGCCTCCAGTCCACCTCTCGCTCGCCGTCGCATCCTAGCCTAACCGCCTAGCCTCCTCCGATCGCCCCCCCCCCCGGAGAGCCACCTGGTCCGCCGCCTGCAGCTTGAAGGCTTCAGATGCCACTAGTCCACCACTTCTCGTTCTCGGCGAACGTCGGCTTGACGCCCTCTTGCACTGCGGCATCCTAACCGAACCTCCCCCGATCTCCCCCCTCCCCCACCCCTCGGAGGGCCGCCTGGTCCCCCACCTGCAGTTTCCAGGCGTCGCGCCGCGCGAGCGGCAGCTCGCGGCAGGGGGGCCCGCGGGAGGACCAGAGGGTGGGGGCAAGGAGGGTCGTCGTCGTCGTCGCATAGATGATCGAGAGTCACGGATCGACGGAGGAGGGCCATCGTCATGTCATCGTCGTCGTCGTCGCGTCGAGGATCAAGGGCCAAGGATCGAGGGTGGGTCGTCGTCGTGGATGTCAAGGTCGAGGGGCGATGGGAAGGAGGGTCGGTCGTCCTCGTCGCATCGAGAATCCAGCATCGAGACTCCAGGCCAGAGGTGTTTCGGGAGGGTGGAGGGGCTGGAGTCAGGAGGCGGGAGGAGGAGGGGGAGGAGGGAAAAGGATGTGAGGGGGGGGAAGCAGGAAGGGCTGGGGTCATGAGGAGGAGGGAGGAGGGGAAGATTGAAAAGGGGAGGAGGGGGAAGGTAATGAGATGGGGGGAGACGGAGGAGCGTGCTGCAGTTAGGAGTGGAGGGGGGGGAGGAGGGGAGCCAGAGGGGAGGAAGAAAAGGAGGAAGAGGGGGAGGGGCTGAGGGGCTGGGGTCCGGAAGAGAGCGGAGGGCGGGGGGCGGAGGGGGGGGGGAGGAGGGAGGGGGAGGAGGCAGAGGGGCGTGAATGAGGATGGGGAGGACGGGGAGGAGAGAGTGCAAGGACCGTGGCGGAAGGGACAATAGGACCTGTGGAGGAACGGGGAGCACCGTGGAACAGGCACGCTCGGCAGCTGTGACGGGGGAAGGCGGCTGAGCTACCAAAGAAACATAATAACAGCAGCCGCCCTGCCGACAGACGCCCTGCGTATACCGGGGGACGTCGACTGACCACCTCACCAAACCTGGCCGAGGCCATCCTGCGCAAAGGATCGGCCCCGCCAAGACCAGCGAGGTGGTCCGCAGCAGCACCGTCCCCGCTGACCCCAGCCCCTCCCGCGAGGCGCTCGGGTGACGGGCGGGGCCCCGACGCCAGCGCCGCCGCGGCCGCCGACCGCCGACCGCGGACCGCCGACGCCTCCACCGCCGCCGCCACCGTCGTCGCCACCGCCGCCGTGGTCGTCGTGGTCGTGGTCGTGGTCGTGGTGGTGGTCGTGGTGGTGGTGGTGGTGGTGGTCGTCGTCGTCGTCGTCCTCGTCGGCACTGTCGTCGTCATCGTCGCCGTCGTCGTCGCCGTGCCTTGCCCTCACAGGCGGCGCCGAAGTCCACCAGCGCGCAACCGCGGCCAACGCACGTCACCGTGCCGGCCACCTCCTTCCGGGGGGGGACCCGCGGGCACCGGGGGGCGGGCGGCGAGCCAGGC